TTCTGAAGAAGGGTCTTGACCCGAAACGTCAGCTTTCCTGCTCGGCCTGCTGTGTTCATCCAGCTCCACACCTTGTTATCTCACACTATCTGAAGAAGAGTCTTTAACAGAGAGATCTTGTGGCATAGTCCCTATCTCTGTTCTGGAAGGTCTGGGCTTAAGTCCCAGATGCTCCAGATGTGTTGTAACATATATGAACACATTGATTAGAAAATATCTATTTCAAAGAATTACAAAGAACAAGCCATTCAGAATTTATGTTCCATTCAAATTGCTCCTCCTCCTAAGTTAATTCTATCTGCGTATTCTTTTGCTCCTTTATTCCTCAACCAGTTTTCTCAAAATATAGGAATGTGCTGTGACACGAATGAGGTCTTACGGCACTGTGGATAGTGTCTCTAAGCCACTGAGGTTGAGTTCCACTACAGTGCTTGAAGGCCAAGAAAGGTCCATACGTCGTGCATCCAAACAGGTTAAGTATCGACCTGAAAATCCTTCCAGTGGCAGGCAATAAACAAGGAGAGATTTCTAGTCAGTCATGCAATGTAAAAAACACCAGTGTCTTCACCATTACAATCTAGAATCACTGACTGCAACATATACATAGAAATGTATATGCAATTTGAACTCAGTGAATGAGCTCTAACAGATTACCATGACATTGTGGTACTCTTAGTTAAAGGCAGTCTCCAGATGGTTGCAATGGAAGACAAAGGTTGATTCCAATTTATCACAAAAGATAATTCAGAAAATGAATATATCCAGCTTTACAAGTAGAAGAGGAATGTCTAGGAAAATTAGCAAGTGAATATCACTTAGATAAAAAGGACTGAAGAGAAAGCAAACAGCGCAAGCCACTGACTCCTTGGCCAAGCATGGAATTTGTCTCCTTCAAGCTGGAGTGAGCAACAGGTGTATGTAGATTAAGTTGAATGATTTGTAAAATTAAAACAAAGTGACTCATAATAATATTGTTCCTTATGATATTTCTACTTAATGTGCAAAGCTGTTGAAAGTTATTCAATGTTCTAACTATAATTTTGTTAACATTTTAATAACTTAAAGATATGTATTTTTACAAAGACTTTCATGATCTTATGTCATCCAAAAGCAGTCAATTAAGTCTTTTTGAATTGCAGTCACTGTTCAAATTTAGGAAAATAGTGTAAGTTGTTGTTAACATTCTCTTATATTGCAGGGATATAAAGAGAAGTTGCAATTGGTGCAAATCTGAACATTTTAAACTTTTTTGGAATATGTAACCTCTATTCTATTAAATTAATTTATCAGTGCAACAAGCGTACACTAAGACAACAACCAGACAAAGGTGATTACATTTGTTGAATTAGGGCAATGTAGATCAGTTGTTGCATACCATATTCAGTGAGCTTACTGCTCTTTATTCACCCACCACCATAATCAGAGATCTGGACTGTCTCCAATGCCAGTGCATCTTTCTTTCGATAATGGGCTGAAAATTGTTCACAATATTTCAACTCTGGTCCGACTAGTGCCTTGTATAGTTTTAACAAGACTTCCCTTTTTTTTAATATTCCATTTCCTTTGAAATAAAGGACAATATTCCATTTGCCTTCCCAATGACCTGTGTGTATGCTAGCTTTTAGTGATTTTTGTACAAGGACTGTGCTGGTCAGAGCATTTTATAAGATGTTCAGTGGTCTCAAAGCAAATACATACATTTAAATAAAATTTAAATAGATAAATTTGTAACATACAAGAACAACACCGATCAAAAAGATTTATTTGAAGGTCTTACACTGATATATATGGCTGTGAATCCACAAGATAGCATAGATTAGGATAATGAAAGGCTCAAAGTGTTGAAGGCACCAGACATCTCAAGTAACAGCAGTGCATGAGTGATCTCTTTATTTTACTATCGTCATTCCACTGAAAAAAAATTATTTCACTTCTATATTGTTAGGCCATAAAAATCTGCTGTTGTGTCTCATTTCAGGATCCTTGAGACTCTAGTATAAAAATTTAAATATATGTAATAGGTATAAAGACAATACTGTCACAAGAAAAAATAATAGGGAAACTAATGGAGCTAAAACTAATAAGTCCCCTAGACCTGATGGGATGTAGAGGATCAGATTTTAATGACTTGGATGAGGAAAGTTTGAGAATGACAGAAAAATAAATGCAAAAGAAAGTGGAATATAATATGGGAAAATGTGAGATTATGCACTTTGGCAGAAAGAACAGAGGAGCTGAATATTATTTAAATAGAAAAGCACAGAGGGATTTGGGAATCAATGTTCAAAAAAAAAATCACTAAAAGCTAGTATACATTCAGGTTACAAGGAAGGCAAAGGGAATGGTGGGCTTTATTTCAAAGGAAATGAAGTATAAAAAAAGGGAAGCCTTGTTAAAACTATACAAGGCACTAGTCAGACCAGAGTCGAAATTTTGTGAACAATTTTGAGCCCATTATTGAAAGATAGATATACTAGCATTGTCGGCAGTCCACAAAAGGTTGACTAGGTTGATCCTGGATTTGGGGGGGGGGCGCAGTCTTAGGAGGAGAGGGTGACTCAGCTGGGCCTATATACACATTGGAATTTAGGAGAATGAATTGCAACCTTATTGAAACATACAAGATTCTTAGGGGGCTTGACAAGATAGTTTGTTCCCCTTGTGGGAGAATCTAGGACCAGACAGCATAATGTCAGAATGAGGACTGCCCTTTTAAAACAGATGAAAAGGAATTTATTCTCTCAGAAGGTAGTGAATTTGTGTATTTTTTCTTATCACAGAGGAGTAGAAGAGGCTGGGTCATTAAGTATTTTCAAGATTGAGATAAACAGATTTTTAATAAGTAAGGAATCAAGGGTTATGGAGATAAAGGTAGGAAAGTGGAGTCTGAGGATTATCAGATCAGCCATGATCCCATTGAATTAAGAGCAGACTCAATAGTCTTGCTTCTGCTCCTGTATGTTAGAGTCTTATATGGACCTTCTGGTTCCTTTAGTGGGTAAATGGACTATATGGTGTGATACTTAGTCCCACAGATTGCTCAGGTCCTTGGATCCATTCCAGGCTGGGCTTAGTTAATTGATCTCAATATGAACGGACAGCTGCTTAACTGATATAGAGAGGAAACATCAATCTAGATTTTGATTCTGATTGTAATCCAACTGCTGGTCAGCATTAACATATTTTCATGAAAGGGCTCTTGTGGTATAGTGTGAAATTTCCTATCTCTGGACCAGGAGACTCAGGTTCCCTGTCAAAGATGTCACATAACATGTCCAAACAGGGGACTGACTGAAAATAATTGATGAATGTTTGTGAATTTGGACTCAGACTTGGTTCTGCTATTCAAACTGTTGGGCTTTTATGCAAAGACAGTTCACAGGAATAAAGGAGGAGGCCACTCAGCCCCTTGGTCAAATCTTACTATTTAGTTTCTTACATCCTAATTCTATCTATCCCCGTCAATTCCATAAACTCCTACCTTCACCTAATAAAAACCTCATTTTAGCATCAACATTTACTGAGGATAACTAACAGGCACTGGAGAGGTGATATCAACACCTAATACCCAGTCAGGGGCATTACCTTTGGGGTGGGCAGGACAGAAGAAAATTGTTGTGGGTGTAGATTAAAAATTTGAAAGGGAAGTACTGAAATCTCATTGGCTACCTTACTTCACTTCTTCAGATCAACAATTTAAAAGTCTCAAAAATCAAATTGCTCAAAAAGTAAATTCAGAGTTGCTTCCAACAATCTAATTTATTATTTAACACCGGCAGAAGGGCATAGCAGGTTAAGAAAGGGACCATAGTTACAAAATAACAGGGCACAAAAATATCCAACCGAGATGAGTGATAATCTCTTGCCAAATCAAAAGTTAATTATTAATAGAATACTGGTCACCACTGGAATGTTAATTTTTTTTGGAAAACAATCCTGATCCCAAGTTGCCCGGACTTATTCCACACAGTTAGAACAGCGAACTCGACGTTTAAAAGTTGCCACTGGACCTTTAAAAGTTGCCAGGTCTTGATGGTAAAGGGATTTTGGAAATTCAGCACCTGAGTGTCAGTTAAGGGTTGACTCTTCGCTTTCAGCCCCGCCTTGCGCTCCAGTCTGGAGACTCTTCTCCTTTTCTTGTTTCTACCGTTACACTTGGACAATGTGGAACTGAGACGCAGGGAGATTTGCAGGAGCAACTGACCCCTTGGTCCATGCTCTTACCTTTGGTCCAGCGATGGCCAGCCGATATCAGCGAAACTGCACCGGACAGAGAGGCTATCGGCTCATGTGTGGATTTATAAGCGTCGGACAGACATGCCCTGCCCTTCCTCAATCCCACCACCTTTCTGTGTTCTCCCCAGCTCCTCCTCGCAGGCTATACCGGCTCCTCCTCTTCCCACCCACCCACTACCTCTACCATACTTCCCTCACAGCGGTTTTCAAAGCAAAATTATTTAAGTTATTAAAAGTTGCAGAGAAGATGGATCATGGTTGGGGAGGAGAAGGGCGTGGGCGTGAGACCAAATGAATATGCAATACATAGTACAATGTAGCACAGGAACAGGCCCTTCAGTCCACCAGGATACCATTCTAAATTAAACCTAAAATATTCCTAATTCTCTAGTAAATGAGGACTATTCATTTGTAAATCCTGTTCATGGATCAAGAACCAAATGGCACAGACTTAGCTCATGTTGACACTGCTACTTATCGTTGCTTTAAGGGCAGATAAAAGGCACTAGTGTAGTTTGGTGGTTTGTTGGTCAGCATGGATATGGTGGGCCGAAGGGCCTGTTTCTATGCTGTATGACTCTATGAGAAACAGCGCTCATACAAGTGTGTGGTTAAGGCAATGTTTCCAAAACTTTTCTTTCCCACTGTGACCCTTGAAATTGTCAAGAGCAGGAAAAAGACCAGTGAAATAGAGGGTGGGGAGTTTAAAATTTGCAAAGTTTCATTCAACTTGTGAACCCCATTTGGTGTCCTGGACCCATGCTCTCACTTTGGTAAGCCCTCCGTTACAGACTGCCATGCAGAGTGCTGGAGACAGGTTCAATCAAGCCATCCAACAGGGGATCATGGTTACCTGAAATGGAAGGATGTCAGGGCTGTGCAGAGAAGGCCAGAGGGGAAGAGTGGAAATAGCACCAGGGGAATTTCTTCTTCAGAGAGCTAGCACAGACATGATGGGCCAGTTGGCCTCCTCCTATGCTGTAGCTGTTATGTGAATCTATAAGGAATTCAGAATGTTTTCTTTTACCCAGACAGTGATATGGATCTCACCATCACAAGAAATAAGTTGAAGTGAAGAGCAAGTTGTATTTACATGGAAGCTAGCTGCACAGATGGGAGACAGGAATAGAAAGTCATGTTCATTGGGTTAAATGAATTCAATTGGGAGGAGATTTCCATGAAGTATAAATGCTGGCATGGACCAGTGGGCACAATGGCCTGCTTCTCCTCTTCGGATTTGTCAATCAGGACAACACTAGGTTATTTAATCCTTCTTGGTGTCCCAGTTGTCCACTAGGACATTTTTCTGTACTGCAAATTCTATGTAAAAATAAATATCAAGAGGTTCAAGGAGATAAAATATGACAGAGTAGATGGAGAAAATTTATTCTCTGTTGCAAGTGAATCATTAAGAAGAATTCATTGATTTAAAAAGTTGACAAAGATATGGAGAGGTAATGAGAAAATGTTTTTCATGCAGAATGTTAGTAGAATCTGGAATCCTCTACTTGAAAAATCAGTGCCAGCAGATTCTAACAATAAAGTTAAAAGGGATTTGGTCAAATACTTGAGAATGTAGAACTAGCAGGACAGGTAAAAAAAGCAGGGGCAGGGATGGGAGGAAAAGCGAGGCGTGATGGGCTGAATGGTCTCCTGTGCTGTAAATTTTAAAGATTCTATTAGATGCAATAAACTGGAAATGGTGGAAATACAGAACAAGGTAGACAGCATACTATAGAGAAAGAAAGTTAAAGTTTGAAGTGAATTACCTTGTGTTAGAATTTGGAAAATCAAGAGATGGAACAGGTTTTAAACAATCACAAGGGCAGGACAATTTGCAGGAGATGCTGGCATACTGCTAACGACACCAGGCTAGCAATCCATAGGCCCAGGCTAATGCTCTGGGAAACACAGGTTCAAATCGTACCATGCCAGCTGGTGGAATTTATATTCAAATTATTCAAAATAATTCTGTACTATATAAAGCTAATCTTAATAATAAAGAATGTGACAACTATTTCCAATTGTTGTAAAAGCCAATCTGGTTCAATAATGCTCTTTTGGGAGGGAAATCTGCCATCCAGTGAGACAAAAGAGAAGCAGTAGACGTGGTCAATTTGGATTTCCAGAAGGCCTTTGACAAGTTGCTGCACTGAAGGCTCCTCAATTAGATAAGAATCGATGTATTAGGGGCAAGGTATGGACAGAAAATTGGGTGACTGGCTGAAGGCAGAGAATGGAAAAAAAGGCGTCTTTTCCAGAATGGCGGTCAAAGAGTAGTGGAATACTGCAAGCATCAGTGTTGGGATCACAACTATTCATATTATACATTACTGATCTGCATTAAGGAACTGAGGGCATTGTTGCTAAGTTTGTAGATAACATAAAGATAGGGACAGGTAGTGTTAAGGAAGCAGGGAGGCTGCAGAAGGACTTAGGCTAGCAGAGTGGACAAAGAAGTGGCAGATGGAATGCAATGTGGGAAAACGTGAGGTTATACATTTTGGTAGGACCAATAGAGGCACAGACCATTTTCTAAATGGGGAAATTTGAAGCAGTAAGGGACTTAGGAGTCCGAGTTCAGAATTCTCTTAAGGTTAACATACAAGTTCATTTTGCAAGTTAGAAAGGCAAATGCAATGGTAGCATTCATTTCGAGAGGACTAGAATACAAGTGCAGAGATGCACTGCTGAGGCGAAATAAGGCTCTGATCAGACCACATTTGGAAGCAGTTTTGAGTCCCATATCTAAGGATGTGCTAACCTTGGATGGGGGTCTACGGGATATTTACTAGAATGATTCCAGGAATGAGCAGCTTGTCATATGATGAGTGGTTGAGGGCTCTGGGTCTGTACTCACTGGAGTTTAGAGGAATGAGATTTGAATCTGATTGAAGCTTGCAGAACACTGAGGGGGCTGGAATGGTGTGGATGTGGAGAAGATATTTCCAATAGCAGGAGAGACTAGGAGCCAATGGCACAGCCTCAGAGTGAAGGGGTGACTCTTTAGAACTGAATTGTGGAGGAATTTCTTCAGCCAGAGGGTGGTGAATCTGTGGAACTCGTTGCCACAGGAGGCTGTGGAGGCCAAGTTATTGAGACAGAGATTTGAGACAAATAGAGATTGGTTCTTGATTTGTAAGTAGATCAAAGGTTAAGGGGAAATGGCAGAAGAATGGGTTTGAGAAACATATCAGCCATGAATGAATGGTGGAGCAGACACAATGGGCTGAATAGCCTAATTCTGCTCCTGTATCTCACTATATCATGGTCTTATCTGGTCAGGCCTAATTGTGATTCTAGACAAACTGCAATGTGGTTCACTCTTAACTGTCCTCTGAAATCATCAATGAAACCATTCCATTCAAAGGTAATTAGAGATGGCAACAAATGCTTACCAGAGATATCCACTTAATAAGAACAAATACAGAAAAATTATAAGGTGAGCAAAGAACAAAATTCATATTTGATATGGTAGCAAGAAGGAGAGTTTAAATAACAAAAGAGATTGTGATGCAGGTAAAAGGGGTGACAATGGTGTTGACGTGACAAAAGATGCCAAATGTGTAAATAGAAAAGCTCTAAATGGAAAAATACAGAATCATCGCTTATGGATGTCATTTGAAATAATGGGGTTGAGTTTATAATCTGAAATTTTAGTACTACTAAATCCTGAAGGCTGTAAAGTAACTTGATGAGAAAGACGAGAAGCTGTTCCTCAATCTCACGTTTGAACTTCATAGAAAAGTCATGAGATCCCCAAAGAACTTTGAAGTGTAGACTCTAGACAATGTTGGAAATGGGCCAATGTAGGAAACTGAGGTCAAAACAAATAAGTCACGTGGCAGGTGAGAGCTTGCATATTGCTTGAAAGAGACACGTGGCTGAAGCTTTTTATCATGTGCACTCATCAAGACAAATGCAAAAATGCCACATTTCAAATGATCTTCATACTATAGGAGAAGGATTTGTTGGCAAGCTGATTCCAGTTGGTCAAATGGTGACATGAGAGAGCAATGGGGGATGCAAATGATGAACAAAAGCTCTAATGAAAGGAATCCTAAAATAAAGCATTAAAATAACAAAAAGAAGGAAAGTGTGTAAAATGGAAAAACAGAATCATCACCCAGACTGGACATCCAGTGGAGCTGGCCTTAAGCAAGATGGCAACCGAGTCGGCTCCGGCACGTTGAACGCACATGCACAGCAAGGGTACAGCCGTGTCTCCCTGACAACCATGACTGGGTACTTTGAGTAACATCACGCAGCAGACGAAAAAGTTGGCTGACGTCATGGTCATTTACCTGTGGGTGGGTTTTGAAGAAGATGGCAACGGTCATGAGACACCGCCTCCACCGCCCGATTGTCATGGAGACGACGGGGGCGTCGACACGTCATCTCCATAACGACCGAGGGCGGGTGTTTGGGTATTATGGGTAGCGGCGCGTTCCCGCCAACTGCGGCTTGGTATCCACAATGCCCCGCGCTTAGGGGGAAGGAGGGGGGAAAGGGCTGTCGCTTTTGAGTCTGGGCCGTGTGCCGCCATTTTAGTCGTTGTGTTTAAATATCGAGGGAAGAAAAAATACACAATCTTTCGCTCCTCAGACTCTCAAAAGAAAAACTTAAAGGCGCATCTCGCAGTTTTTTTTTAAAAAAACCGTCCTATTCCTCCTATCTGTAAGCCCCTCCCCACACCACCAAGCAAGGAAAAACGAGATGAAGCTGACGGATAATGTGCTGCGCAGCTTCCGAGTGGCTAAGGTGTTCCGAGAGAACACGGACAAGATCAACTGCTTCGATTTCTCACCCAACGGAGAGACGCTCATCTCCAGCAGCGACGACGACTCCATCGTCCTTTACGACTGCCAGGAGGGCAAGTGAGTACTATTACCGCCCCCATCCCTTTTCAGTTCTAAAAGACCCTCCCCTCTCTGGGAGGCCTAGAAACCCCGGCCTTGATTTTCACAAAAGACCCTGAGCTCGGGTTGCGTTGCGCGGTCAGGAGAGAGAGGTGGGGGCTGATTGTAGACCCAGCCAGCGGCGTGGAGAAGCTGGAAAGTAATCAGTTGCCTTGGATTATTAAGTGGATTTAGGAAGAGGGCAGTCACACGTTGGAGGCGGGAAATAGTGATCTGCAACACGTTGTTCTGGGACCAGACCGTCGTCTCTGGTGTTCACTAATAATATCTAATCGACATTCTTCATAGCGCAGAGTGCGTCTGCAGGATTTCTTTCCCAAATGTTGCAGATAACAGCCATTCAAGGTGGAAATCATAGCCAAACAAATAATGATGTTAATAGCCTACCTCGATGCAGAGCACATGCGCTCAATATGCTACAGTTGAGGCAAATACCTTGCATCTGTTTACCAATGAGCGATGTCCCCTGTGTAATTCAGTAAAGTTAACCAGACTTTTATAAATTCATGTAATAAATCCGTAAAGCTGGCTCTTAAAGTGTGACCCAAAATCTGTGCGTGGTTTAGGTCTTGTGGTGTAGTGGGTAGCGCATTTGTCTCTGAGTCAGAGCTCTGGATTCGATTCCTATCCCCGAACTTGTGGTAGTGTCTGGATTAAGTCCTGTCTGTCCTGGAGGTGTGTCATAGCATGTCAGAACAAGTTGTTTAACAAACTGCAAAAGAATGTTGCAGCTTTATGGGCTGGGGTGGTGTGGTGTAGTGCCCCTACGTCTGAGCCCAAAGGTGTAGATTCAAATCCTACAAAGGTGTTACATAATATATCTGAACAGGATGATTAAAATTATTTTAGAATTGTAACTTGATGGAGAAGGAAGAGGCATCAATGATGAATTTCAGAATTTAGGCCCTAAATAGCTGAAAGCACGGCCATTCAAGTTTTTGGAGTAAAATTTGCCCAGCAGATCCTAGAAATAGAAGGGACAAGATTGTAGAATGGTTACCACATAAAGGGAAACTATTTATATTTTAGTGCCCTAGATGCCGTCTTTCATTAGATTAAGTCTTTTTAAAGAAAATTGACTTGTATTTGTTTTTTGCCTTGTGTTCTTTGCATTGTTTTTTTCCTGTGATGGAGTTTTGTGGTCACTAGACATCAGGTGTGTAAATCTCAGCAGTAAGTGTTGGCAGGTTATTCCATTATTACAGATGGCCTCAGTTGAGTCTGTTCTTATTGTTCTTTATTGTCCCTCCATGCTGATTTCCAGTCTGTCACAGCTAATTCTGTAAAATTGATGTGTAGCCTTATATTAATTTGGGTAATTCAATTGATAAAATAAGTATCATTCTGATAGAGAGCACTGAATGTTATCAGGATATCTGACTTTTATTTTAAAGTAGTAAATTGTTTGATCGTCCCCAACTAAGGTAGAGGATGTCATAACTGCTTCAGTACCTGTTGAGCTGTGCACTTGGCACTGAGTATGGTACAGGGGTTTGCAATTCCTTTGTTTTCTTTTCATAGTGATGATGCATGTGGTTTGCAATTTTCATTGGTGTCTCTGTTACTGCAAGTCAGGTCAGCTAATAAGTCAGTAAATCATAAGGTGTCCTTTAGTTGACCTAGTTTATTTCCTTTTTGTGGGTGGTCTTGTGACACAGCAATAGTGTTTCTGATTCTGAGTCAGAGGTATATCAAAAACATGCCTGAGCAGGTCCATTTTCTTGTGTGGTCAAGAAAATACTTGACTGTTTTAATAAAGGATAGCATTAAATGTCAGTTAGTTAATCAGTTATCATGCAGAAGCATGCATCAATGATTTTGTTGCCTTTTCTGATATTTGGGCATGTACTACATAAGGGAGGCCTTGAAACTAGACAACAGTAAAAGTTGGAAAGAATAGTTACGTGAACTTCTCTGCAACAGTCTGTTGAGGTTAAATTGGGCATCTTTTCTGATAAAACTTAACATCACTTAATGTAATTTCTTTCTTACCTGTCAGACCAAAGAGGACACTGTACAGTAAGAAGTATGGGGTAGACCTGATCAGATACACACATGCAGCAAATACAGTGGTTTACAGCTCTAACAAAATCGATGGTAAGTTAGCTTGTGTTGTACGAATCTCCAGCTGTTTAGTTTCTCTTGCTCTGAACTTCTCCAAGACTGGGATATCCTTTGCATCTCTGCAGAATCAGTTGTTGTGATATAAAGTTTGTATTTATCTGTTACCAGTACATTAACAGTTTTATAGAATATAGAATTAATGTTTTGCCTGTTTAACACAGCAATAGTTTTGTAACCTTTTTGTTTTGTTTGTTTGGAAGTCTCACCACCTCTTAAAACATGTTTGATTCTTTGTTCTCAGTTTGCCATCGTTTTGGCTGCCTTTATAGTTTTTCTAAAACTTGTGCTTTAGACCTGCCTGTCAAATTACTGGGGGACAAATGTGCATTTGTGTTTGCAGTTTGGTTTTGAAAGCAAGTCAGTCTTTTTATTATTTCAAAATCAAAATAACCGCTAAATTGAGTTCAATGTATCAATTGATCTGGAAGTTGAAATTTATAGATTAGTAGATGTGTTGAATTAATTAACTTTTGAAGGGGAATAAACCAGTAAGAAATAGAGGAAAAATGTAATTTTTGGGGCAGTTGTTTTCTATGCAAAGTGTTGATTCCTGGCCGGATACTGTTTGAAAGGAAAGTAGCCAATACTTTGCTACCTCATTGAAGTGTGCATTACTTACATGAGACTTGCCACCAAACTATCTGATACGTTTTAAAGGAGAGAATTGTGGTCATCACAATGGAACCTCGTCAGATTAGCTATTTTCCTTTTTATACACATGGACACTTCACAAGGATGATGGTGACTCAGTGTGGTCTGATTCTTTGCTTCCTTTTTTGGCCCATTGATCCAGGCCTCCAGCACGGAGAGTATGGCAGCCAGTTGTGTTCAATGTCTCCCTAGTTAGGCTTGGCTTCCTCAGCACAGAGTGGAAATAAAATCATGCACTTTATTATGAAAGCTTTTGTTCAAAAATTTTGTTACAGTAGCTTTGAAATTAAAATGGTTAAAGTATGAAAAATTGTTAGGAGCCAAAAGAGATGGCGTAGTGAGGTGCTATTCTGTGTGTAACTTGCTTATTCTGATTTTACCCTTTTTGAGTATATTTCAAGTGTTATCAATGCCCAGTTTTTAAAGAGAAAACTTGTGATAAATTTAAATGTCATTATGTCCTTAACTTGATATTGTGCCTATTTTTGTTTGACTGGGTTCTAATGAAACACTAAGTACAGCTTCGGATGAGTTACTAAACCCAATCATGTGAGAAATGGGAATTGACTTGTTGAAGCTGAAGCATCTTGGGGGTGCTTGGCAAGTGAATGATGTTGATTCCTTTTTCTTATTCTGTTCTGTAGCGTAACTCTTCAGAGAATAATGTGATCTGTAGGGACATGATTGCAGTGGAAAATACTTCCACAAATCAGTCACGTGTATTATTATAAATAACTAAGTGTTCACGTTTCATCAATTTTATAGTACTGCAGCATCATGGTGCGTCTTTCTGAGTGGAAGAATCTCACATCTAACTGTCCTTGACAGCATTAGTGTTGATTATTGAAATTGGTGTATTATATTATAATGTAAATGTGCAATCTTTTATTGGATAACTAAGTGTAAAATCTTACATACTTGTGATTGCAATTTGAATGCATTCTACAGGTTATTTCAGGGAAATCTGTAATTGAAGGGTGCAGCTGCAACAGTGCCTACTAACTGGCAATTCTCCAGTTTGTCTGGTATGTCCTGTCCCCATAAAACATAACATCTAATCAAGTTAATTGTGGCCTCAATAACTTATTCTCATCAGCAAAGTGATGGATAATGTCATCATCAGTGCTGTCAGGCAGTGCTTACTCACCCATAACATGCACTGTTTCTTAGTTTGGGTTCGACTCAGCTGTAGATCTCATTTGAGTCTGAGGGCCAGCAGAGAAAAGAGCTGAATTTCCAGAGGTTCTAATGTAGTTGACGTCGAGGTAGTAATTAATTTGGTGTAGCATTAATGAATCTTAGTAAAATGGAATTTAGTAGGAATCTAGAGGAGCTCCCTTCACTGGTTGTACCTAGCACAAGGTGAAGAAACTTTTACTAAGTGAAGATCAACCATATTAATCCTAGGGCATCGTGGTTGGCGTTCTTCAGGATAGTGTTCGTGTTCAGCCATTTTCAGCTGCTCATCAGTGATCTTCCACCAGAAACAGGGATGTATCAACGCTCAGTCTCATTTGCAACTTCTCAAATTAGTATTTTGAGCCTGTGTGCAATATGACATGAATGAAGTTTTGGCTTAAGCTGAAAGTGGCACATAGCGCCTGGCCCTTGTGCAGTAAATCCTGTCTGTCCTCAGCAAATGAGATTGTAATCATCACCCACAGACTTGTAATGTCATTGCTATTCCTGAAACCCTCTCTAGCAACATTTTTGTTGGGCGTTATTGACCAGGTACTTAAACTGCACCGACCACGTAAGTAGTGGCTACAAGAGCAAGTCTAAGGTCGGGACTTCTGACTCTCCAAACCCTGTTCATTGACCAGTGTGCAAGGTACATAGTGGAAGTCCGATGCAATATGCTCTGTTTACCTGATGGATGGAGCTCCATAAACAGTGGAGAAACCTGGCGTCTAAGGCAAAACTGCCTTGATTGGTACCCATCTACTGCCTTAAACATATGCCACCCCGTATGTTTAAGGCAGTGGATGAGGTTGATGGGTGATCTTTGGGGTTTAGAAAATCATGAGGGACATAGATAAGATGAATGACAAGGGTTTTTCCCCCTAGGATGGGGGAGTTCAAAACCAGGGGGGTATACTTTTAAGTTGAGAGGCGAAAGATTTTAAAAGGACCCAAAGGGCAACTTTTTTTTAGAAGAATAGTTTGTGTGTGGAATGAATTGCCAGAGAGAGGTGGATGCAGGAACACTTACAATGCTTAAAAGATATTGGATAAGTTCATGAGGAGGAAAAGTTTGGTGGGGTATGGACCAAGCGCAGGCAGGTGGGACCAGTTTAGTTTGGGAACAGGGTCAGATTGGACTGGTTGGACCGAAGGGTCTGTTTCTGTGCTATTTGACACTGACTTGAATCAGAAGATTTCTGTGTAATTTAAGATTGAAAAGGAGTATTGTGAAATCATCTGACAAGACTGCTGTCTGCAGCCATCAATAGCTATTTCCTTCCCATCTTTGTTTGCTAGGTAACGAGAAGATTTAATAATTGGCTTGGTATTTGGAGCCTGTAAAATGAGGGTGATGCAGGTTGTGTAGTTATTTTGATTATGCTGCAGTCATAAAAAGTTTGCTCTGCTTTTGCAATTGATAAACTTTCTTATTAGGAACAATCTTTTAATAACAATATCATTGTGACTTGAACATTTGTTGGATTTAGTTTTTGAATATCTGCTAAGAAATGAGTTGCAGCTGCTTTCTATTTGCAGTTCAGTGGTGGCATTTGTGTCTATGTTCTTATTCAGCCACAACAGCAGATATCCATACGCTATTCTGCCTGTGCCCGTGCAGAGGTAGTTGTTTGTACAGTTTGAGGGTTTGTGACACCACCCGGTTGATGGAGATAACTGTACAAGCCACTGCCTTGCCTGGGCCAGAGACCAGCATCGCCAGTAACGGACCATGAGCTGCTGCTTGGATGAATCCATTATCTTCGGAAGATTAAAGAATTCCACTCTTGATAAAGTTTAACAAAGTTTTTCCCCCCACTTGGAACTTGTTTAAATTTTAAAGTGTTATGTTACAAACAGATTAGTGTTTGAACTCCTGTTAAATCATGTAGAGTTGGTAATCTTTTATAAAGTTATAATTTTGTAGTTTACAATTTATGATGGGGCTCTATTTCCTTTAGAAACCATTTCTAATATCAGTTTCAATTAACTATGGGGTAAATGATTAATTAGACTACCTTTTAAATGCTGGTGGCTAAACATAACTGGAGTTGTCAAAACTTAGTGTCTCATTTTGGGATCTTGATGTTTCTCCGAAAAGGAAGATCAGTATCTGAAAGCTGCCGTTTCCCATTGCACAGCCCTGTTCTTTAGAACTAAGGCTCTGTTATCCTCGCAAAATCTGCAGTTGTAAATGGAAATAGGAGACTTCCTTTTTATCAATTCCCATCCAAATGTAAACAAAAGGTGTACCCATTATAGGCCTAAAAAAGGCCTCAGATTTCAGAAATTGTCTAAAGTAGCTGACTCTTCGTGTTCTGGTGTACTTTTCATTTGCCTACCTAACTAGTTACTATGTTTCAAAAAAATAATTGTCTGGAGCACTTGAATGTTTTGAAATTGCTGTCATACAAATATAATAACAATTTCCCCTAATTACAATGAAGAATGCCCAAGTAACCATTTGGTTGAAGTACAAAAACAGAAGTTGCTGCAAAAGCTCAGCAGGTCTGGCAGCATCTGTATTTCGATTTAAAAATTGAAATTAATTTGGTTGAAGTAGTTTCAGTGGTTGACATGAAAAGGCCACACTGGGGCAACTGTTTCCCAAAGACCAAACTGCATTTTGCAATCAATCTCCCAACTTCCCCCAATATTACTTGCATTACCACTTCTAAATCAAATGTTACTTCCAGGACCAAGCAACATTGTAAACTTTGAGGCAAACCAGTAAAACCAGACCCATGCTCTGACAAATGGACAGCACAGTGTTTAGCACTGCTGTCCCACAACACCACGGACCCAGGTGCGATTCCAACTTTGGGCATCTGTCTTTGGAATTTGCACATTCTCCCCGTGTTTGCATTGGTTTCCTCCCACAGTCCAAAGATGTGCAGGTTAGGTGGATGGGCCAGAACTAAATTGCCCGTAGTGCCCAGGGCTGCGCAGGCTAGGTCGACGAGCTGTGGCAAATGCCGGGATGGGGTGGGGAGGTGAGTCTTATTGGGATGCTCCTTGGAGGGTTTGATGGGCTGAATAGTCTGTATCTGCACTGTCAGGATTCTGAAATCCTGAAACTGCAACCATAATCGTTTGCATCATGTTTCAGTACAACAACTGAAGGCAGCTTAGGCTGTAAGGTGATGCAAGTTTGTGACTTGGGATACTTGATAATGGAGGAAGAATGGCATGCAGTACAGAGTAGTACATTTATAAACTCAGCTATTGAGAAAATGTACAAATATATTCTACCATTCTGTGATGCACAAGGAACAGCAAATGCTGTATTCTGTTAAGTTAGACAAGTTAATGAGTTTTCTAGTAAGTCCAAATGAAGCATAAAAATGATCAAAATGCATGAACTAAAATACTTGAAATGTTGTTCCTTTTCAGTTGAATATATCCTTTCTTTTTAGATACCATCCGGTACTTGTCACTTCATGACAACAAATACATTAGATATTTCCATGGTCACAGCAAGAGGTAAGTCAAGTATTTTTATTGTTCAGTTCTACTTAGATTGAGCTTTTCTGTGGGGTACACTTCAGCAATGATGTACAAAGAACAGTACAGTACAGAACAGGCCCTTGAGCCCACCAAGTCTGCGCTGACACGTGATGCCTTTCTAAACTAAAAATGTCTTTATGCAGTCCATATCCCTCTGTTCCCTGCCTATTCATATATCTATCAAGGTGCCTCTTAAAATGTTACTGTTGTATCTGCACCTACTGCCTCCTCTGGCAGCACATTCCAGGCATTTACAACCCTCTGTGTTTTTGAAAAAAAAACCTTTGGCATCTCTTTTAAACTTTACCCCTTTTACCTTAAACCTACTTTCCCTAGTAATTGATGTTTATATCCTGTGGGAAAAATACTCTGCCTATCCAATCTCTTTCTGCCTCTTGTAAGCCTCTATCAGGTTGCCCCTCAGATGTTCAAGCGAAAATTAACAGATTTTTCCAATCATTCCTTGTAGCTAATACCCTCCAAACCTTCTCTGTACCTTTTCTAAAGTCTCCAATTTCTTCTGGTGGCGTGGCGACCAGATCTCTGCACAAATTCCAAACATGTCCAAATACAGCAGCAACATGACTTGCCAATTTTTATGCTCTGTGCCCTGACCGATGAGGGCAAGCATGCCATATGCCTCCTTTACCACTTTATCTGCTATGTCACTACTTTAAGGGAACTGTGGACTTTACGCCTAATATCCAACACCACCACCTTTTTGATATTGACATGTCTCAGAATATCAATGTACCCCTTTCTAGACTCACCATCCACCATCTACTTCTGCTTTATGAATTCCAATGCAAAGTACTTAAGGACCTAACCCACCTCCTGTTGCTCCATGCATAAATTTCCTCCTTCGCCCTTGAGTGGATTTACCCTTTCCCTAGGTACCCTCTTGCTCCATAAGTTCTTCTGAATCCCTGTTTATGTTCGTCTCTGCTTTCTTTGTGTTCCTTGAGGACTCTGTCTTCAGTTTCTTGAACCTTTTATGTATGCTTCCTTTTTCTTTGACTAAGCTCAATATCTCTTATCCAAGGTTCCTGAATCTTACCATCCTTATCATCTTTTTCACAAGAATATGCTGGTGTTGAACTCGTATTAACTGGCCTTTAAAAGCTACCCACATAACAGAGATGTGAATTTGCCCTCAAACAGCTGCCCCCAATCTACATTCCCTAGTTCCTGCCTGATAATTGTCCTACTTAGCCTTCTCCCAACTTAGTACTTTCGCCCTAGGACTACCCTTCTTATCCATAAGTAACTTAAAACTTATGAAATTACAATCACCCAAAATGCTCCCCCACTGAATCTTCAATTGCCTGGCTGGGCCCATTCCCCAAAATCTGCCCTAATATGGTCCCTTCCCTAGTTGGACTATTTACATATTTCTTGTCATTTATATAAATGATTTGGATGAGAATGTAGAAAATGTGGTTAGTATGTTTGTGGACAATACCAGAATTGGTGACATACCATGGAGTGAAAAAGGTTTTCTAAGATTGCAAAGAGATTTTGATGAAATGGGTCAATCAGCTAACAAATGGCGATGGAGTTTGATTTTGGGTGAATGCAAAGTATTGCACTTTTTTAGAACAAACCAAGGCTGGACTTTAACAGTTAATGGTAGGGTCTTGGGTAGTGTTGTAGAACAAAGGGGCCTAAACGCTCAGGTGCATAATTCTTTGAAGTTTGCGTCGCACATAGACAGGGTGGTTAGGAAGACGTTTAGCATACTTGACCTCATTGCAGTCCTTTGAATGTAGGAGTTGGGAAGACGTGTTGAGGTTGTACAAGACATCAGTGAGGCTCATTGTGGAGTACTGTCAGTTCTGGTCACCCTGTTATAGAAAAGATACTGTTCAGCTAGAGCGGGTTCAGAAGAGATTTGGCAGGATGTTGCTGGGTATGGGAGGTTTGAATGACAAAGAAAGATAGGCTGGGACTTATTTCACCGGTGCGTTGGAGATTGAGGGGTGACCTTTTTATAGAGGTTTATAAAATCATGAGTATAGATAGGGTTATTGGTAGGTGTCTTTTCCCGAGGATGGGGGATTTCAAGACTAGAGGGCATATTTTAAAAGTGAGAGGAGAGAGATTTTTAAAAAAGACATGGGCACATTTTTTTACATAGCGGTTAGTTTGTGTGTGGAATGAACTTCCTGAGGAAGTGGCGGATGCAGGCACTGTTACAACATTTTAAAAGACATTTAAGTAAATACATAAATAGGAAAGCTTTGGAGGGTTATGGGCCAGGAGCAGGCAGGTGGGACTGGTTTAGTTTGGGATCATGTTTGGCATGGATTGGTTTGACCGAAGGGTCTGTTTCTGTGCTCTGACTCTCTGACCAAGAAACCCTTGTGGACGCATCTAACATGGATTTTTTTTTTTTTTTGGGGGGCCTGTTTCTTAACTCCTCATCTTTATCTTTGATCATTTCTTAAAAAAAAGTAAGTTCTGACAGCCTTTAGATAATTTGCTTGTTCTTTATTCATGAGTCTGTGTGCTCAAGTTTAACCGTGTTTGACCATAGAACTGTTGCTGTCCAGCCAGATCTTAATCATCATTTCACATCCATTCAGAGGTAGTAAGAACTGCAGATGC